CCGAAACCATGTTCGCAAGTTCCATCGTTATCATCACAGTTAAACGAGTCGGTGTTTCTCGAAACCGTCATTCCAACGAACATTCGCAAACAGCATCACAGAGGTGTGTGTGTGAGCGACAGATCTCGAGCTGCGGTTAGAAGAAGAGTTTCTAGTTTGCATGACTTGTCGACTCCTTAGAATAAATCCTGATCTAGAGCAAAATAAGCAAGCTGACATTCAGTGCAACCGGTGTCTTTTATTTAGAATACATACAAATGTCATTTAAGCATTTTAGTTTGTCAAGAGATTTAAAGCGTTGTTTTTTGAAGAGTGCGCATGTGTGAACGAGCTCTAGTGTGTGAGAACGAGCCTATGACTGAATCTGGAGATAAAGCAAAATTATAGTTAGTCTTCAGATGCATGTCTGTGATAAATAGCAAAACATCTCGCATTAATTCAATCTCACACAGATTCATTAATAGTGGTTATTACTCCAATACGTGCGTGACATCATTAACCAACGTGGTTGAACGACCAATTTGCGACACTACGGTTTCGGGAAACAGTCGTGACTCGCTAGTTGATTTCTTCAACGATGCATCGTATTATAGTATTTAAGCCCTGATTAATTAAACCCCTGATTGGTTCCTGTCTCTGTGAAGCCCCTTCTTCTGAAAAGCACACTGTGCTCTGATTGGTCAGCTGAATCAGTGTGTTGTGATTGGTCGAGTGTGTTTGGGAAATGTCCCGCCCCTTTCCATAACCGCCAGTTTAACACACTACTGACTAACTCAACCAGGCCCCGCCCCTTTATTCTGCACATTAATTATTATAATGAGGAATATTGTGACGTGTTCGTTCCCGGAAGAAACTCAAGATACAATGGAGGCGTTTCAGGAGTTCAGAAACACTGACACTGATATAGAGAAGAACTGGAGCTTTCTCATCCTCAAACAGCAACATCACACACTAAACACAGATGATCATGGAGAAAAGCATCTTTAAATCCGAGCGAGCAACAGAAGAACTGCTGGTTTCAGACTGTGTTTCAGTGTTGTTCCCCATTGAATCGGTTTAATGTGTTTTGTTTTTTGTCTAATATAATTTAGTTGAATGAAGCATTCTGCATTAGTTCCCACAGAAATGAATAATTCACTCAGTGTTGTGAGTGAACGACCGCGGGTCTTTAATGTGCAACAGTAACTCGAGATGATGATGATCAAAACCAGTGATCATCTGTTCAGCGGAGAGAATAACAACACGAGGGAGAGTGAAGAAAACCACGACACGACTCTGAGATCTGAAGTGATGCTGAACTCCTGCGATCACGGCTCAGGCGTGTTTGACCTTTGACCTGTGATGGACGCCAGTGTTACGGTGCTCTTTCCTCACTGACGTCTGAAGGACACGGCAGAGACCAGCCTGTGCGTTAAGGTTATTATTTTCAAAAACTTAAATAATTTTCTCCAGTATTATCTGATGTAAAAACACTGTTTTAAATGAAGTATTAATTTATTGAACATTGCACTGCCTTACTGGACCGGTGACAGTAGCTGTTATTGCTTCTCTGTAATATGTGTAATATAAAAAAAGCAATATTTTTGATATTATGAGGGAGATTTTTGATGGTCTAAGTTCCTATGTGTACTGTAGTAAGCGATCGGGACTGTTGTATGTGTTTGATAATGAGCTGTTTGATCTACTCACACCTCCACTAATGAAGATCCTCATGGATTGAGCTCGTCTAACTGTACGATATTAGCTGATATAATAATGCTCAGGGGAACGTCCTCTGAGACGCTGTATTACGCTGCCACGGGACGAGTTTACGTCAACGATGATTCAAACCACTCTAGTGCCTTCCACACATCTTCTGTAAGACTGGATGACATCTTTGTAATAAAGATTATTTCTGACTAGCAGTGAGTGTTGTGTTAGTATCACTAATGCTGCCATAGTTTGTGTTATATTATGAATATTTATAATATTTTTGACATTTTTATTGGTTGCCTTTTCTTTTTAAAAGGAGTAGTTCACTTCAGAATTAACATTTCCTGATAGTTTAGTCTCCTCCACGTCATCCAAGATGTTCATGTCTTTCTTTCTTCAGTGGAAAAGAAATGAAGGTTTTTGAGGAACACACTCCAGGTGTTTCTCCATATAGTGACTTCAATGGGGTCCAACGGGTCGAAGGTCCAGATGTGAGTTTCAGTGCAGCTTCAGAGTCTCGACACGATCCAGCCGAGGAATAAGAGTCTGATCTAGACAAACCAGCCGACATTTAAAACAAAATAAACATTTATATACTTTTATACCACAAAAGCTCGTCATTCTCACAGCTTCCTCTCTTGTGTTCAAACCTTTTACAGTCTATGGTTCAAACACACACTTGCGGTCTGTGCCCTTGAACACTTGTCTACTTGCATACTGTATTTACTGTATTTTGCCCACGTGTTCAAGTATACGTGAAGACTACAAGTGTGGGAAAAACTTTTGTTTTACACAATTAGACACACTAATAATTTTGTTAAAATGCGTGTTTTTTCCCCCAGTGTTTTTCAAAAGTGTTTACAGAGCTTTCAATACTTTGCATTTTAAAATTAACTTGTAAATGTAGCGGCAACATAAACTTTGAGTGTGGAGGGAGACAGCCTTCTTGCAGGAAGGAAAGCATTAGTCAGATATAGGGACGATTTCCTTACACCCGCCTTCTATATATTTTACATAGGCAAACATATTTGTTAGTATTTTTTTTATATTTATAGCTGAGTTATAGTATAATTATATTGTCAAAGTTGGTAACGTTATTCTAAATCTATCTTGTTACAGTTTTTTTTACAATCACTTTGTTACTATTTTCAGAACCTTGATGTCATTTTTCACAACTCTAGACACAAAACTCACAACCAATGATCAAAATTTTTCAAAACTCTAACCCTTTTCTCAATTGATTGGATACAATACACATAAAACTTAGATCATTTGTTCATTCAACAAAAATCACCAAATTTGAGTACCGGTAGTTATTTTTAATCTTTAATTATACCAGATAGAACTCTCTGTAGCCTATGTTTAAAGCATTAGGTGAGATTTTCGTTTGAATATTATAATTTTAGCGTAGTCCGACTTTTGAAATATATTTATTTCTCAAAATTACAAACCACATTTGACATCATATAAAAAACGAAATTATATTTCGAACAATTTTATGAATAAAGTTGGAAAATTAAAAACCTGCTGAAAAACTAAAAACTTTATTTCAAGTCATATCATTTTAATTTCTCTGTCAACAGGGGGTGCTGCAGTTCGCCCAACCCATGGAGAGGACGCTCTTCCTGAGGTAAGAATGGATACAAGTGCGTCTTTTGATAGGTGAATAAAAATAAACACTCCAGCACTGTTATTAATGCATAATGTCTGAATAAGTCCACCCCTATTTAATAACAGAGAAACATTAAGTGTATTTGTGTAAACTTTTGTATAATGTAATGTGATGTCCGAACAGCAAACGATTTGTTTTTCCAATCGGTTCATTTGAATGAATCAAAGTCGTGCGGCTTTTGAAATCTCCTCGTATATAAACTCCAACTGAGGAGGGTTACATTTAAGAATCATAAACAACCACAATATTTGACACAACCTTATCTACAACATAGTGTAAACAGCAGTATTTTCAGGGTGCCCGTGGGTAGTAAAAGGTAGTAAAAACGATCTACCAAAATTTTACCATTTTACCAAATCTACCAAATTAAAGCCCTGGAAAGGTAGTAAAAGGTAACAAACGCAATTTGACTTGGTAGTAAATTGTTCATCACCACGTCAATATATGAGTTAACATTTTTTTGCTTAATATTTGTGTCTCCATGTTTTAACTTAATTTAGCATAGTTTAAAAATATATACGGCTCAGGACCTGAGTGAGTCGGAGTTGATAGTGTGAAGTTTCTTTTGTTTAATATTCAATGTATTTTATTTTTTACATATTTTACATATTTTTACTTTTTTTGGTGTTGAATCCTCAGAGAGAGGATCGTGTAATGAGAAGCGGGAGTGCAAAAAGGGAGAGGAATAGAGAGAGTGCCAGCGAGGAGTATTGTTGTTGCTCTGCTCTCCTTAGACTCTGCTGCTCTCAATAAAAAGTTATTAGTCGTCAATATTTCCAGTCCATCGTCTTTATTGAAACCAAGACTGTAAAAAGAAACCAATCCACGGGCAGCTAAACCCCACGCCTACAATAGCAATGACGTAGAAGTAAACTGTGTTAGTTCCGTGGTTGATAGCCTATCAGCGACGCCAACAACATTTACCGCCTTTTTACCATGCTTTTTACCTCAGTAACAGTTGATAGCCTATCAGCGACGCCAACGACATTTACCGCCTTTTTACCATGCTTTTTACCTCAGTAACAGTTGATAGCCTATCAGCGACGCCAACGACATTTACCGCCTTTTTACCTCAGTAACAGTTGATAGCCTATCAGCGACGCCAACGACATTTACCGCCTTTTTACCTCATACGGCGTTACCGCTATCATGTCACACTCACACAGTGGATCGAAGTCGAAGATTCAGCAGCAGCGGATTCGCGTGGGGGAGCAGCTCCACATTTCGCTGTTTTGCGATGCTAGCAGCACTAACTTGCACAGATCGCGGCAAATCATGCCAACTTAAGGTCAGCTTACAAGTTACCCCTTGTGATGTTTCTTGTGATGAAATAAATAGCTGTTTTGGGATAGTAATTCACTGCTTAAGTCTGCGTGTGTGAGAATGTGTGTTTGTGTAGTGTGTGATGTGACACACTTTATTATTAATTGTTTATGGTTGTTAAGTGTCATTTGTTTTTAAGAAGTGCCAATTTACCTTATTAGGGCCAAGGGCTATGGTTATGATAACTCGAGGGCTAGCTAGGGCTCGCAAAATCGCTAGCCGACGTCCCGGGGCTATTGTGTTTTCCAGTCGGGCTACCAAACCCCGGGCAGAAGTTTAGGGGGGAATTTGATTACACTATTTCAGACAGCCC